TTCCTACTATAAGCCAGGTGCTATGCTGGGGTCTCCTTTCATTGTTTGGCTTATCACTGTTTACTGAAATGCTTCATTTGTTCATTCATTCAACATGTGTTGAATACCTTCTGTGCCCTGGTAGGGCCATATTTCTGCCTTCTCCCCATTTCTGGGGTCCGCATTGTTTCTGAGCAGCGGGCACACCATGCTTTGGTGATAAAAGCCTGGCAGAAATCTCCTGGAATCTTTTCCTTCCTGGATGAGTTCTCCACAGTGTGTGTGTGTGAGACTGGTACTTCATACTTTGGGCCGGACCAGCTGCTTGTCAGCTGGGCTTCTCAGTTACAAGTTTGGCCAGGGCCCCTTAAAATCAACAGCAGCAGCTTCACTGTAAGAAAAGGGGTCAAGTTTGAGGTTAGGAGAATGTGCCTTTTTTGTACCTTTGCACTTAGGTTTTATAATTTTAATTGATGCATAGACACACACAAACAAAAAAGCACGAAGGAAGATTTGGATCCAAGCAGTGCCACACTTTACATCATCACTACAAGTGTTCAAGTGTAAAGAAAATCAATTTTGAAACTATGAAATTCTTGATTCATAAATACAGTTATTTCTACTCTAGTAAGCATGAGCTAATTCACGGTTAAAGTTCTTTTATTATGGGACTCAGGTACGTTTTAAAAGCAATGGTAAATTAAGTTGTCTTCCAAAACTGTGTGCTTGTCCGGGCAGCTGTGTATGATCAGTTGTCCACCTCAGACTCTATTTTCTTTTGTGCGGGGACAGGTTGCTGGCCCTCCCTGTTTCCACAGACCAAATCCTCCTAGCGCAGGAGCCCGGGCTAACCAGTTGTTTCTTCTGAGTATTGTTTGTATTTGATTATAGACCTCAGTGACATTTCACAGTTTCAAAAGTCCTTCCTGCTCTGAGAAGTGTAGAATCTAGTGAAAATTGCATAGTCATAAGAGAAATGTGTTGTTTTGTTTTTGTTTCCTTTTTCTTAAAAGTTGTGGTATCATTGGTTCTGTGCTTCCTGAAATAGTACTGCTTTGTGAAAGTCCAAACTGAACGCAGCACCCTCTGTGTACCTAGTACGTTTATAAACCTGGGTATCTCATTACTTGATATTTTTGCATTAGTTAAGACAGAAATTTGATAACTCAGTTAGAGGGGAGGGGAAATCTGCTGCTAGAAATGTCTGAACTAAGTGCCATACTTGCCTTGGTAAGATTTGGGAAATATAACCTCTGTACATAAAAAAAGGAAAGAAAAATCAGTTAAACATCACATAGTAGACAGTTATTAAATTACAAAAAAATTAATTTATGAAGAAAGACCTTTTGTACAGATTATAAAAGAGATTTTTCACAGAGATATCTATATGATCAAGAGAGTTAATGTTTTATTTTAGTTTTACTAGTGCCACAAACTTGCCAGTGGTAATTTCTTTGTCCAGTTCAAGATAACTCTGTAGTTTTCTTTCCTAGGACTTGTTGTAAATGCCAAAAGATACTTTTGAATTGTACGTTTGATCAGATTGTTGGCTGTTTCTGTTTTATTTCTTTTGACAACCTTTGAATAAAAAGCTCTGATACTTAAAAAAAAAGAAAAGGGGTCAAATAAAAACAAAACAAAAATCTAAAACACTACAAAGGACATGTTAAGTCAGAAAGAAGGGGATACCTGAGGCTGGGATGGGGAACTGGGTCAGGGGCTGGGATTTTACACGGAATAATCAGTTTGAAAATAATCACTTACAAAAAAATGCCCTGAAGGAAGATATTGAGCAAGTGGCTCCTGTTGGGAGCTTGTTGGCCTCCTATTCCACCTTCCCTTAGAGCAGCACCTTGGAACAGACTGGGAGTTGGCAGGCAGGGTGGAGACACCAATCAGCTGCCTTTCTGGGGCCTGCTGCAGCTGAGCTGATTGACAGCTCATTCTGAGCTCTCCCATCCTAACCTTTTTGACAAGATTGGACACTATGGATAATGGTCCCCTTGAGCACCCTGAACTCAGTGGCAGGGGTTGGAGGAGGGGGGTTTTGGTTGGTTTGTTTTATTTTTTGTTTCTTAAAACTCATATACTTGGTTTCCACCCTGAGATGGTTTGCTGACTCTGCTCAGTGGATGCATTGAGTCTTTGGGAAGAAGAGACAGGGCTCCTAACTCCCAGAGGGACCCTGATCAGGCACGGGTGGGATAGAAACCTCAGATAATTCTGCAGTGGGACCTCTGGGGAAACGAGAGGCTGTGAAGACATAGGGCACTGCAAGCATCACATTTGGATAGCAGGGAGGCCCTGAAATTCCAAACCAAAACCCACTGAAATGATTTTTTGATCATAGACTTATTCCCCAAATGACTACTCTGTGCTGAGGGGATGGAGGTTCTAATAAAGATAAATATGACGCCAGTTCTGTCCTGCAGAAGTCCAGTGACACAGCTCATTGCAACAGGAGGACTGCGACAATGAGGCAGTGAGGAGGGTTGATGTGCTGCTCAGGAAGGATGGCAGTGGGGAAATTTATTCCACCCAGAGAATCTGGTGTTAGCACCCATGCCCATCGGAGAGTTTAATTATTTTTGGATGGCTCAACAGTTAACCCCCTCTCTACTTAACTGTGGGGGCTCAGTTTCTTGCCTTGCTGGCCAACAGAGGTGCTTTTGAAAACCTGTGAGAAGCATTGAGGATCTTGGGCTTGCTGGTAGCTCAGTGACAAAGGAGCAGGAAGAAGGTTTTATTGTATAGAATTCTTATTCTGAGAGACACCAAAGCTTAAAACTTCAGATCAATAAGTCAATATCCTTGTGGGACAGTGGGGATCGAGGTCAAATGCTTGCTTTATACAGATTATGAAATTGAGGACCATTGGGAAAGTGAGTGGGAAAATCACTGTCAGACCAAGGATCTTCATTCTCTTTTCACTGCCTTAAAGAATGCATTGAGATTATGTAAAAGGAGAAACGTGTTTTGAAAATCTGAAAATAAAATGTTACATAATATCTATGTTGCATTAATTCTGCCCTCCACATTACAAGAGAAGAGGTCTGTCCTTCAACTTGACTTTTGCCAATGAGTCTAAAAGGGAGACTAGGTATGAAAGCAGAATTAAAATGTAGTAAAACATGCAACTGAATGTCCAGTGCAAGGCTAGTGCATGGCAGACACTCACTAAATGTTTGTTCCTTCCCTTCATGAAGAGATTAAGACCCTCCTGAAGCTGCCATGGCCTCAACATAGTCATAGTGGAGTAATGGACAATTAGGGCATTGCTCAGATATCCATAGATAATTACACACTTGATTTTGGATTGAGACTCTCTCTAAAGCTTTTAGGTTTCTGGGTTATTTGCATGGTTATAATTGTTTAAGCTGGATTGGAAAAAAAATCATGGAAACACATGAATTGGCTTTGTTCAGCATTCTTTTGCTGCAAATCAAATAGTTTGAATAGTTCCCGGTTCTTTATGCCCATTCTCACCTCTGCCATGTGGTTTTGACATGGGGTTAAAAACTTGCTATGGTGGGGGAGTAGGAAGGTGGATAAAATTTATTGAGTTTTTGCTGTTGAGTAGCAACTATGTTTTGCACAATGTGTGCACTATCTTTCTCCTCCTTTCTCTTCTTCTTCCCCTTCTTCCTCCTTTCTCTCTACTCCTCTACTTCCTCCTCCTTCTCCTTCTGCTTCCTCCTCTTCCTGATCTCTGGCTTTTCCTCCTTCCTTCACTTTTTATAAATAAAGAAACTAAGGATCAAAGAAGACTATTAATTATCCAAGGCCACTTTTTAAAAACACAACAAAACTGGGGCTTAAAGCTTCTGGTTTTTACATTTTTGTATGCCAACTATGTGCTGAGGCTCTGAACATATGGGTTCTTGTATTAATGGTGCCCTCATGCAGTACATGGTCAGAGCCTGCAGAAGAGAAATAACATGCCAAGGGTGGATGGAAAAGGAAATATCTTTGCCTCACTCAAACCAATAATGATACCTAACATTTAAATTGTGTGTCATGGTTTTCAAAATACTTCATAGGAATTTCCCATTTTATAGCTAAGAATACACTCAGAGTTTATTTCAAGGCTGTACAGCCAGTAAATGGCAAAACTGGGACCCAAGCCCCAAACTTCTGACTTTCAATTCTATTCTATTACTCTAAAATGTCTTTCCCACATAACTTAGCTGCATGGGGAGAGGAGAGACTGGTTGAGTTTGGATGTGGATATGTTGTGCATTTGGTGGCTCTGGCTAGGCTGGGTGGGTCTTATGATATTCACCCATTGCTGCATGTCAGTGAAGACCTTGCCTCCCTAACTGCTTCACAGAGTCACCAGGCAATACATGGTTACTGAACATTTAAGTCAATTTACACTTGGATCTTGCTGTTGTATAAACCTTTGATTGCAGCCTTTCATGAGTTCCCTCAGTCCCCCAGAGCCAGGAACAGAGAAGCATTTCTTACACCCCTCATCCTGCGGTTTTCATGTAGAAAGTGACAGAACTGATGGTTGCAGAACAGGATATGCTCCTCTGGTCTTGAGGGGATTGCACAGTCTTCAAACTGTCCTCCTTGCCGTCCTTGACCTGGGCTAGTGAGCCTGAACAGGCCTGGGTGATAGCCAGCCTCTCGTGGATCGGTCCAAAACAGGGAGCAGCATTGTGCAGAAAGTATTTTTCAGGTTGAGAAACCAAGTCCTAATCTCCTCTTTCAATGATTGTACAAAAATCAAACTGCTTGACAGATGCGCAGATAAACAGAAGTTTGCAGTCAAAGCAAGTTCTGGAATGGGGATGATCCATCTTGGAGATTTTTAATGGCTCTTACCTTGATAATCACCCACCAGGAATAGCTTCCAGGCAAACCAAACCCATACTTAAGTGGGCCCACACCCAGGTACACCAACACCTAGTTGACAATTATATAAGAGGACCCTGACCATCTCCTGACAACACAGTTTATCTCCAGCTTTGGCTTTCATCCGGAACCCTCGACTTTCCTCACTGTGCAAAGCCATCATGAGTTGTCAGATCTCCTGCAGCTCTCAAAGAGGAGGAGGAGGAAAAGGAGGAGGAGGAGGATTCCGGGGCTTCAGCAGTGGCTCAGCCATAGTCTCCGGAGGGAGCCGGAGATCGACTTCCAGCTTCTCCTGCTTGAGCCGCCATGGAGGTGGCAGGGGAGGCTGTGGTGCCCGCGGCTTTGGCAGTCAGAGTGTTATTAGCCTTGGAGGGAGCAAGAGCATCTCCAGTAGTGTGGCCAGAGGAGGTGGCAGCTTTGGTTCCAGTGGTGGATTTGGTGGCAGAGGAGGTGGCTTTGGAGGTGGCAGCAGCTTCGGAGGAGGCAGTGGCTTTGGAGGAGGCCGCTTTGGAGGTGGCGGTGGCCCTGGGGGTCCTGGTGGCTTTGGGCCTGGAGGATTCCCTGGTGGAGGCATCCATGAAGTCTCAGTCAATCAGAGCCTCCTGCAACCCCTTGATGCAAAAGTAGACCCAGAAATCCAGACTATAAAGTCCCAGGAGCGGGAACAGATCAAATCTCTCAACAACAAATTTGCCTCCTTCATCGACAAGGTGAGGTAGAAGTGGTTCCTTCTGATGCTCAGGACTGTGGCTTCTAGAGCTTAAGGAAACCAAACAGATTAGATCCTTTTAGAAGCCGTTGGAGTGGCCATCACAGCCCGGGTTATTTGCAAATCCTAAATGTGAAAAATGCTGGCTTTGCAGGATGTTTCCATAACATTCTGCAGTTAGGAATCACTCGTCTCTTTGATTTTATTTTCAATCTAAATAATTATGGAAAATTCTGACAATTATAGAAAAATTGGTATCGGCAGGTAATGAACTGAGCAGGTCAGGCCATGTGACAGCAGGATTTGAAAGGGATTGGTGAGATATTTTCTCCCTCAGTAATTTTGTCCTTCCTTGGAAAGTTATTACTCTATTAAATCCTGTGAAGTGGAACTTGAAATATCTGCTTGAAATTCCAGTCTTCAAAAGAAACATTCTCAGTTTTGTGATGTATAAAGTCTTTAATGGTGTCACTTTAGGGTGTTACTAGGCTTTCTCCTATTTCAAGGCAGAGAAACCTGTCTCGGTTGAGTTACACAGGAATTTGTAGGGTTCTGAAAAACCAGCTAAGGAGCCCTGCCCTCCAGGACTCGTTCTCAGCACCCTGGGTTGCAGTGCTAGCAGATACCTGCTCCAGAATTTATGGGACCTTGGCAGGGATGCAACTAGGATCAGGGAGAGAAATGCCCTGGAGTCTTGGGAGCAGCTGTAAACAAAACAGTGGGTGTGAAGTAGGAGAGTTCCATGCATGGAGAGAGCCAGTGGTAGCATTAGGAGTCCATAGAACTTTCCAAGTGTGAAGGGAGGGAACTCAGAAGCTCTGCCAGGGTGTAGATGAAGCTTTGTGACTGCCTTCCATCCCCAAGTGGCACCAGAGCTACCCAGTGGAGCTGTATCTTGCTAGTGTGAAGAGTAGCCTGGGCCTTATGTGCTCTCCCTCCCCTCATGGCAGGTGCGCTTCCTGGAGCAGCAGAATCAAGTATTGCAGACCAAATGGGAGCTGCTGCAGCAGATAGATGTGGGATCCCGCACCATCAACCTGGAGCCCATCTTCCAGGCCTACATCAACCAGCTCCAGAAATGAGTGGATGTGCTCTCTTCAGAAAGAACTGCACAGGATTCAGAGCTGAACAACATGCAGGATCTTGTGGAGGATTATAAGAAAAAGTAGGTGGCTGAGTAAACCCTGAGTGGAGATAGATACTGAACAGAACCAGTCAATGACTTGTCTACCATTTGCATTTGTGGTGATAAAAGGCTTTGGCGGCTGCATCTTTGTTGATTATTTATGAAGAGGACATAAAATTTCAGAGATCTAATTTTTTTTTACATGTTTGAGAGTTAGCTTATATAGAAATCCATTGCTATTTGGGGTATGAATTTTGGCATTTAAAGAGTGTTTAATATGCCTGGAGAATTCATTTGGGATGAATCCAATAGAAAAAAGAAAAGAAAAAAAAAACCAGAACTAATCTAAGTGTTGTATCATTTGGGTTCCAACAGGTTTGAGGATGAAATCAACAAGCGCACAGCTGCTGAGAATGATTTTGTGACACTTAAAAAGGTGAGCAAGGGCATGCCATAGCTGGAGTGGGAATCGGGTTGTGTCACATCACTGTGTCCAGACAGGCTGGAAAACAATGTAAATACACACAGAAGCAGCCAGAGAAAGGGCTGAGATATGCCTATCTCTGGTTCTCTTGGGGCAAAACAGTCTCTGCAGTTCAAGCTTCTGAAGATGATTCTCCAAGATGTTCTGCACATTTAGCAGAGTACTATCATCATGTGCCCACTTAAAACCTATATTAGATCATAAAAAATGCCAACAGAAGACTCTTTATTCTTCTACAGGGCTAGGGAGAAATAGGACTTTTCTTAGAATGCCTGCTTATAGTTGCTATTGGTTGTGCTGACACAGCTCTGAGCTGAAGGCCTGAAAGCAGGGCTTCTCAGCCTGCTTCCTAGAAGGGACCAAGGCAATTCAGGAGAGGCAGGGTGAACATACAAGATGGGAGGGTTGAGGACTGTAGAAGGGCACAGAGACCATTGTACCCACTGAGAGAACACACTATGTCTCAGACAGGAGAGAGAGACTGGTTAGAAAAGGTTGGGGCCATGCAAGTGCTTTTGGTCACTGGTGGGGCATGAGCAGTGCACATGGGCAGAGATGGATGATGGACTGCATGCCGGATGAGGTCCCCTCTGGATGTGGTTCCTTTGGAGGTGCTTGGAATGTTGGAGAGCAGCTAACAGGCACTGAGTGGAGGACAGCCTCAGAGAACCTGGGACCCTTATGGAGGACCAAGCAAGGTAGGGGGCATGTGTTTCACCAGAATCCCTTGAACTTCTGTGCAGGATGTGGACAATGGCTACATAAACAAGGTGGATCTGCAGGCCAATGTAGAAGGACTGGCCCAGGAGACTGACTTCCTGAGAAGGGTCTACGAGGTGGTAAGGAGGCTTTTCCTGGACAGACCTATGCTTCCACTCTTCCCAAGCCTTACCCACTTGGTGAACAGGTGGCAGGAATAGGGGTTATGGACTGACTGACTTCTACTAGCCACCCCTCTAGCCCACTAGTGGGGTTGCATAGCTCAGCCATTGGGGGAGAGGAAGTTTTCTCCATTGATGTCACAGGAAATGAGATTCAGGAAACACCAGGTCAACTTCCTATCTCTCCATAGATACACCTCCCCTTAGGAAGGGCCCTATTCTATGCCCCATGTACTTCAGAGGTCAAAATACACTGTCTCTTAAGGTCACACATATTATTTCTGAAATAGGATGTAGAATTTAAGGCATTAAATGGAACATTTAATCGACTAGCTTTCTGGGGGCATTTACCGGTGTAAGTGGTGAAGGCTGCTAAGTAGTAGGCTCAGAGATACAGACCCCCTCTCCCTTCCCTGCAGTTCTGAGGACAACCTTGGGAGAGGCCTTGGAGTAATGGTGATGTCATTTTTCATCCCACCTAGGAAATGCTTAATCTGAGAGTCTGTGTGTTTCACTAACAGAAGGTAGGGAGGCCTCCTCACTATCTGTGGTGTGGGCAGGAAGCCATGGCCAGACCTCACTGTGTGTTGTAGGAGCTGTCCCAGGTTCAACAGACTATCACTGAAACCAGCGTTGTCTTGTCCATGGACAACAACCGCAACCTGGACCTGCAAGGTATCATTGCTGAGGTTCAGTCCCAGTATGAAGATATTGCCAAGAGGAGCAAGGCTGAGGCTGAGGGCCTGTACCACAGCAAGGCAAGTATAGGAGGAGGAGGGGGGAGCCCCAGATCCTTACAACAAACCAGGCTTCAGCCCCAGTCAGGATGTATACAGTAAGATTACTGGTGTATTCGGCCAATGAAATCAGGCATCATTCTCAAGAAAGAGTGTTGAGAATGGCACCAAGTTCTTGGGGAAGATTCAAGGTGATCTTCCACCTCCCATGAATATGACCACCACTCTCAGCCAGTTGACAGCTTTTCCTTAGCTAAAGCCAAGCTTGTCCCAGTCTGGAGTTCCCTGTGACTTGTCCTTTACCCCGCTCAGTATGAGGAGCTGCAGATCACAGCAGGGAAACATGGAGACAGCTTGAGAGAGCTCAAGACAGAGATCAGTGAGCTGAACCGCATGATCCAGAGACTGCAAGGGGAGATCTCACATGTGAAGAAGCAGGTAAGGCCTGGTCTGTACAATGGGCCCAGATCTTCCAGTTGAGTGGGGCTTGGGTGGAGTGGATGCTTGTATCTGTGTGTGTGTGTGTGTGTGTGTGAGAAACTGAGAAGTTCTAGTTTATATTAATAACAATGTCCTTTAGCTAAACATTTTAAGGCTATAATACTATTTAGCATGGTCTAAGGGATGTTCTAAAAATGGGTCAGTAAAGGGAAAGAATGTGATCACTTTTTGGTTGTCTACAAAAGTAAAGGGGGGCAATAGCAAATAAAGCACAGGTTAGTTTGACTTGGTGTGAATTGCATATGTAGTTTCCCATCTGTGGATGGCATAGGCCCTGGGCAGCATCTGACTGGGTTCATGGAGGGCATTGAGTGTTTTAGGGAGCTGATGTTGGGCTGGACATTAGCCTTAGAACAAAAAATGGGGGGGGCAGAGTGGACTCCAGAAGCAGGAGAATTTCTGCAAAGCAGTCTGCATTGAATGTCTTCATTTGCATCTATAAAGTGAGATAATGGTTCTGGCCCTGTGCTGTGAGGGACAAAGCCATCTTTGGGAGCACCTATAGGCCTAGGCAAAGGGTGGCTTTGAAGAAGAGTTCCTGGAGATAGCAGCAAGCCTTAGCATAGTTGTTTGCAACATCCTTTAACCCCAAGGCTGTCCAACACCTCTGGGGTCAGTGATTCAGGCCTCCCACATTGAACATCTCTGCTCCTTATCCCCATCTGCCGGGCAGACTCCACTGTCTATACAAAAAGAAACCTTCCCACCTTTTCTTACAGTGCAAACGTGTACAAGATGCCATTGCTGAGGCTGAGCAGCGTGGAGAGCATGCCATCAAAGATGCCCAGCAAAAGCTCACAGACCTCGAGGAGGCCCTGCAGCAGGCTCGGGAGAATCTGGCCCGGCTACTGCGTGACTACCAGGAGCTGATGAGCACCAAGCTGTCCCTGGACATTGAGATTGCCACCTACCGAAAGCTGTTGGAGGGCGAGGAGTGCAGGTGAGGGGCACTGGGAGGGGAGAAGGTGCTCAGGTCTATTCTCTCCTTTGTCTTGAAACAAGGGCTGGAGTGAGGCCAGGCAAAGCAGAGGGTGGGCAGCATCTCTGACAGATGACAGAGGGCACTCACGATGTTCCACACTGTGCAACTCAGGACACAGAGCATTAGTGTAGAGCTGTACATTTATCAATGTGGAATGACTAGCATAGCCTTTTGAAACCAAGTAAACCAGGCATAAGTTATACATACCAGTCTTTTCTGAAAGAGAAAACAAAATCCTGTAAAAATGGAGTGGTTCTAGACAATCTGAAATGTGGTCTCAGTCCCAGGATATGTGGCCTCCTCTGTCATCATGGTGTGACCCATAATGGGAATGATGGCGTCAGAATGTGTTGACTGTTGGGGACATGCTAACCCCAGTAGGTGGAGACAGTGATTCCTTGCAGGTTTCAAGAGTGACAATCAACAAATTGCACACCTTCAAAGAGGAGCCTTTTGCTTTTTCTGTTGTCTAAAAACTTTGTTGGTGTTATCAGCACTCTTGGTTACTTAATGTGGCTGAAGCAACTGGAAAGGGAAAAGGTGCCCTGGGCCATCCACAAACCATTGTGACAAAGGAAGCAGATTTTTCAGGCTTTTGCTCTGTGCCTGCCTATGTCCCCCATTTGTAAAGGGGAGGAGGAAAAGCTCCAGGGGAGCAGAAGGGGAAGGAGAGAGGACTAGGTAGGCTGTACAGAGTTTTGGTTCTTTTTGAATTGAATGTTCACAGGGGAACCTCATTTAAAATTTTTAGAGAAGGCATGATTCTGAATAACAAATTCCTAAGGTGAATTTAAATAAATGTCTTGCACAATCAGAAGTGAATTTGCTGTTCAGTTACTCTGGATCATTGTTCATTTTAATCTGAGCAAAAGCTTAAGATGGATTGAGATGCCAGGCTGTGCATATAAGTGTGGGGTCTGTCAACATCTTTGGCATCTAGCAGCATAGAAGCAGGTGGGATGTATAAGCCCTGGAGGCTGGTCACAGTGGCTAATCTGCACATTTGAAGGTGGAAGTTCCAAAACATGATACATACAGAGCCTACCTACCCTACCACAAGTTCTTTTCTTTTTCTTCCTGACAGGATGTCTGGAGAACTCAGTGACAATGTGACTGTGTGTAAGTAGTGGGGTATGGTCCTGTTGTATGCAGCAGTGTGTGGGGTAGAGGTGGGCAGAGCAGTCAGAACTTCTGTTGTAACACTATCTCTCCTATAGCTGTGACAAGCAGCACCATCTCTTCAAATGTGTCATCCCAGACTGGCTTTGGAGGCCAAGGCTCTGGAGGCAGAGGGTGCAGTTATAGAGGAGGATATAGCTCTGGAAATAGCAGTTATGGCTCTGGAGGCAGAAGATCAGGCTCTAGAAGTGGTGGAGGAAGCTCTGGCTTTGGTGGTTTCAGAGGCCACTCTGGCTCTGGAGGAGGATATGGCTCTGGCAGTGGTTCTGGAGGAAAACCCAGCTCTGGAGGTGGCTACAGAGGAGGCTCTGGTTCTGGAGGTGGCTCTAGAGGAGGATCCAGCTCTGGAGGAGGATTCAGCTCTGGAGGAGGTTCTGGCTCTGGAGGAGGATTCAGCTCTGGAGGAGGCTCCAGGGGAGGTTCCAGCTCTGGAGGAGGATGCAGCTCTGGAGGAGGTTCCAGCTCTGGAGTATTCAGCTCTGGAGGAGGCTCCAGGGGAGGCTTCAGCTCTGGAGGAGGATTCAGCTCTGGAGGTGGTTCCAGAGGAGGCTCTGGCTCTGGAGGGGGAGTTTCTAGCTCTGAACGGGGTGGTTCTGCCTCAGGTGAAGGCTGCGGTTCTGGCGTGATGTTCTCTTTTAGATAAAGATGTGGTCCTCTTCTTTCTCTTCCACTCCAGAATGGAGAAGCTGTTTCTGTACCTCTAACTGACAGCATGACAAATTTGTCATCTACCTGGCATTTGGGGGGAAAAGAGATGCTTATAAACAGTTTTTGAAAAGTCTTTCCAAACCAACTACTGTAGTTAGAGGTAGTGACACCTACTGTTTTCTGAGGGAAGAATCTTCATTGTCCAAATTTGTCTTCTCATCATCCCCCACTCCTGATCCCCTTGCCTCCTTGCTTTTTCCACTTGGGGGTCCTCTTCCGGAGGGGTATTCTATTGAGGACCCCAGAGCAGTCCACTGATGACATCTCAAAGCCCATACCTTTCTCAGGGAGGTGCCCCAGGGAATTGTGCTTCTGTACATAGCCCCTCTTGTCAACTCTGCTTTCTGAGTGCTGTGGTCTGGGTATCTGCACAATAAACTTCATTTGCAACTCATGTCATGTGATGCTTGTTCTATGCCAAGCCATGTTTGAGGTGAGTAGCCACAGAAGGAAGAGATTTGTACATGACAAGAAGAGTGCCTCCTTGAGGGCAGGCCTTCTGAGGGAGTGTGCCACCCAGAAGCCCAGGGTGTTTTCCCCTGGAGGGAAGGAGATGAAGCTGGCCCTGGGCCAGATGTGATGTTCTCAGGAAATATTGTCCAGGTAGTAGACATAGGGATTTAAGGAAAATTCTCCTTCTAGAAAGAAGCATTGCTCTTGAGAACATTTGCTCTGTGGTCACTTCTTTTCAGGGCAAACCATCTGAGCCCTTGAAAATACACCCAAGCTTTTATAGCTCTGAACTTCCCAGGCAGAGTTCTCTCAGCCCAGCATAAACCAGGGGCCTCTCTAACTCTCCACAGGTCTCCTATTCCTGCAGGCATGTACCCCCTCGATGCTCTGAGTGTCTCTGAAATGGATTGTCTGAGGATCTGACATAGTTTCCATTAATAGACTTATATTTTCATAGCAGAGCAATCCCACCACACTCAGAAAATAAAGGACCCTTCTTCCCTAATCTAGGGCTCCCTGGAGCCCCGACCCACAGACATCCCAATTAGGGTTGCCTTCTCCTGTGGGAGTAGAGATAATTTCAGTTCCTCTTCCCAAAAGGCCTATTACCTGCCTTGGGCTTCCAGGGAGATGGGAATGGTCAGGCAAGGGATCGGTGTTGGGCTGTCCAGAGTTGTCCAATGGGAGTTGGTGACTTGGCAGGTGTCAGGATATGCATGTAGTGTTCAGACTCAGCAGATGAGGCTTTAGACAACTCAGAAAAATGTTCCTGAGGATCTTTTTTCTTTTTTATTCCATTCCAGCTCTGAGAACTGGGTCAGGGCTGTTTGAGCCTGTGACTCTCTTCCTGCCTTTCTGAGGATGCAGGGGTAACTTTTGGAAACACAGGAGGTAGCTCTCACAGGGAGCAGGTGCTGTCATTGTTACAGACCAGCCAGACCCCAAACTGAGGGTGCTGGCAGAAGGGGCTCTGAGGACTTCAGCATTCTTAGGTGATTGGCTGCCCTGAGAAGGGCCCCTAGAACTGCCCAGGCCTCAGTCAGGTGGAAAGGTCTGTGGAGGTTAGGGTGTAGACTGGGAAGGAGTAGAATGCAGGGAGGGTATTGGCTCTTAAACAGACCACAGCACTCAGAAAGCAGAGTCAACAAGAGGGGCCATGTACCTAGAAGCACAGTTCCATGAGGCAACTCCATGAGAAAGGTACAGGCTTTGAAGTGGAGAAGGCCTCATCCTGGGAGTGAGGAGACTTAGATGCTGACCTTCAACTTTGGAACTCCTGTTGTGGGATATTGGACAAGTTGTTTCTCATCCCAAAGCTCAATTTCTGTATCAGTTTGCGGAGGTGGAATGAGATTGTTAGTTCATATTCTCCCAGCTCTGATAGCAAGAATTGGTTTGAGCTTCTTTCAGACTCTGGCCTGATGAGCATTTGGGACACAGTGTCGGAGAAGATGCATAGAAACACTGTGTGAGGATGCGTGTGGAAAGAAAACTCTAAATCACTTCCATTCTGGTTCATCACAAGTCTGATAAACCATGACTGAGGGAAGGGACTGCCTTTGGTGACATGGGGACACATGACAGACCACTCTGTAGGGAGCATAGGGTCCACATAGGGACAGATGAGAAACTTATAAACAGCGCTGCCTACAAGAAATAATGTAATTAAGAGCTACTCTGGGAGCAGTAGTGTGCACTAAATATCATCTACGCACTTACTAATAATGCACATTCTTGGTTCCACTCCCCTCCCCCAATTTCTACTACCTGGAATAGAACCTGGAAATCTGCATTATAACAAGCTCCTGGGCACTTCTGAGGCTGGTGACGAAAAGCCACACTTTGTAAAGCACTGATATAGAGGTTATGGGAACAGGGTCTATGGTGGATTCAATTCCTGGTATTTTAGTAGGCACTCAATGAAAAACTGATGATCAGATAAGACCTTGAACAAGTTAATCATCAGCCTTGATTTTTCATTTGTAAAACAGTAATGATGATATCTTCTCATAGGGCTGTTGGAAAGATTATATGCAATAATAAAGGAAAAATGTTTATTCTATAAGATAAGACCTGTGCCTTTGCAAGCATGCACTCATTATTATGTACATTATTATGCAATTATCTTTACTACTAGGGTACTTCTTGTTATTATAAGTTATAGAGAATATTGTGAGACTGAGAAGGTTTGTGGATGAGATGACTTCACATCCAGGCACTGAAAAATGTATATAATTAAATAAGAAATAATAACAATTCTACATTAACTTTTCCAGAAGATAGAAGAGGGAATATTTTTCACCTTGTTTTATAAGGCCAAAATTGCCTTGGTTCTAAAATTATACAAAGATGTTATAAATAACTAAAGATCTATAACCCTCAAGAACACAGTTTCTAAAATTCTCAAGAAGGTATTAGCAAATATAATACATGAATCTGTAAAAATTATAGTATATCATAGCTTTGAGGATTGTCTCAGAAAGGAAAGGCTCAACATTCAAGAATCAATTTCTCTATTCAACATATTGAAGCATAGTAGAGTAAAACACACATGACCTTCTGAATAGATGCAAAAACGTTTGACAAAATTCAACACACATTTATTGTGAGAACAAACAAACCAAAAAACAACTCTGAGTAAACCAGGAGTTGAAGGGAAATTCCTTGGCAATTCTTTAACAGATGGACTTGGTACTTCATCTTCTAAGGTCCTCGACAGACTACTTTGAGATGTTCCCCGTTAGACTGGGTTGTTAAGCCTCCATCATCTCATGAGTCAGTTCTGTAAAATAAATCTCTTACACACACACACACACACACACACACACACACACACACACAGAGAGAGAGAGAGAGAGAGAGAGAGAGAGAGAGAGAGAAATAGATAGATCATGGGGGAAGAGTTCCTTGCCATTGAGACCGAGAGAAAAGATATCATTTTCTTTAGCTTCACCCAGTACAGAGATGGCTGGCCTGGTCTGGGCCTGGGGAAAGGCTGAAGAAACATGTAAGGCAGAGGGGTCTGGAGAGCTATGGGAGGTGGTCCAAGTCTTGGAGCAATAGCATTGAGTAGTGGGCTGGGCATGGGCGGGCTACTGTGAGTAGCTGCCCCGGCTACTCTCAGTGAGAATTGATGCAATTCCCAGAGTGAGACTAAACTATGAATCAGGGATTAGAATAGGGACTCCTCTCTTCTGAGCCCCAGCCATACTTTGCTGATTATTATTATTATTATTATTTTTTTGGTACTGGGGATTGAACTCTGGTCCTTGCGCTTGCACAGCAGGCAGCGAAACCACTGAGCTAAATCCCCGGCCCATTTGCTGCTTATTTTGATTGTTTCCTTGCCAACAGGCTATCTGGAGAAGTCGCTGACAATGTGAGCTACTGTAAGTAGTCAGGGTATTCCCTTTGCTAATAAGTCCAGTGCCACCCTGTTTTTCTAAGAGAAAAAGTGAGGAGGAGCCTTCAGCTTGAAGGCTGGGTTCCTTGGACCTTGAACTCATCTGCAGGCACTGGCTGTGTAGCCTTGAGCCAGTCACCTCTTGTCTTGTGGCTTATGGAGGAGGTAGGAACAAAGGAGCCATAAGGGCCCTGTGCATGTAGGATCTCATGCATGCCTCCAGGTGGAGAAAGTGGAGACTCTGCCTTCAGGACCTTCGATTTGGTGGTAGAGGATGGCCCAGGTGGATGGAAGGTATAGGAGATCCTGGGATTGGTAGCCATTGTTCCTTTATGTTTCAGGAAGATGCCCCTTCTAGCTATGTGTGAGATGGATATTCAGTGACATGAAGGAGTGCTGAGCTCCAGAGCTGCCCCACGTCTCCCTCTTGTCTCCTGTAGAGTTGGTATCAGGCATAATCTTGGCTTCTGATGCATCCAGATCTGGCTCAGTTCTGTGGGCAGATTCTCTTCAAGAGGAGAATCCTGAGCAGCATCTGGAACTTTGTCCAGGACTTTTGGGTCCTCAGGAGCCACTGGGAACTCCTGAAAATCTAGATTTCAAGCTGGGAATTCTGGAGACACTGGTTCTGACATGGGCAGTGAGGAGTACAGTTCACGAGAAGCCAAGGCTGCAGTTTGGGCCCCCAAAGCCTGTAGGACTCCCTCCCAGAAACAATGGGCAGTCTTTGGACTTTATCTTTCATGGTGTGAGTCCACCAAGTGTACTATGGTGTTCATGCCTGCTCTGGCAATTCCTTGGTAGAACAGAATTAAGGGCATACCCTAACCTTAGTACAGAAATAAAAATGAGAGATTGGCAAAGTGTTCATTCAAGTACTCAGGTAGTGAAATAATTGCATTTTAATGGAGAAAATTATATACTGTAGGTGTATCTGGGATTTGGGAGTTGTGAAAGATTTGGGTCATCCTTTGACAATGTCAAGGGTCTAATGGATTCAAGTGTGTCTGCCTAGAATTCTGAGCTAGGTTTTGGTTTTCTTAGTTCAGAGCCTCAGAACCTAACACCATCCCAGGGTAGGGTTAGCCTTGCACAGAAGTTTGTTAAGTGGATAGATGAAGGAGGGTTGGCTGGCAGACTGGATGGAAATGAATGAGGACTATGTGGCTGTAAATGTGGAGTGAGAGGCCTCAAA